GGCCGCGGGCGGCTGGGACGCGTGGAGGACGAGATCCGGCCCGCCTCACTCTGCGGCGCTGGGACCGGCTGCGAAGCGGAGTCCGCAGGGGCGCTCCTTTTTTTCTAACTTGCTCCCCGCAGCCTGAGGGCCCTGCTCACTCTCGACAGCCTGCAAACCCCTGGACACTATTTATTACCACGACAATGTAGGATTTGGATTTGGATTGTGTCTGCCGGGGGGACGGTGTTTTCCCCGGGGCGGAGAGGACTCCTGGAGTCCACGGAGCCTGGATGTTCCCAGAATTTCAGGCCCGCCGGGAGCTTCGTGCGCTAGGCCACGTGCGTTCATGGTATCCATGCTACCGATCTATGTGTATCTACATATGTTTTATTTTTGAAAATGGCATTTGTGACAAATGAGTACGCAACCCTGGCGGCCCCAGGCCTGGGGTTGACGGGTGCCACGGAGGGTTTGGTGCTGGACCTCTGCCTCACCTCAACCTGGGTCCGGGTTCGGAGGGTGCCCTACTGGGTGCTGCAGGTAAGGAAGAGAGCCTGTGAGCAAGCGAGAGGCAGACCGGGGAGTCCCAGCGAGGTGGGCACCCCAAGGCTCTTCGAAGAAACCTGATGGCTTGCTTTCTTTTTTTCGAAGGAGGTTCAGACATGTAGCACTTTGAAGTTGTTTGAGTTCAGATAACGGTTACTTTTGGATCCAATGTGAAGACCCAGTCTTTCCACAGCGTCCGCCGCACCCCGCACCCAGCCCTCTGTTTCCACCGCACCTCGCCTCCTGCGCCCTGGCCTGGGACCCACACACACACCTGTTCCGAGACAGGTGACCCCGCCTGTCCTGTCAACCTCGCCGCTTTTCGCCTCCTTAGGGGCACTGTGCACTCAACTAGAGTATTATCTTTTAAAAGATTTGTGACGTTTGGAAGCTGTATTCGCTGTATTTTTCTCTTTAATTTATAAACTTCTAGTTTAACATGCCCTCCTGAACGCCGCGTTTTCTCTGAAACTTTGTCGTTGCTGTTTGGGGGGGACTAGTAATTAGGGTGGGAAGTAGCCGGGCTCCGCCCTGCCTTCTGCCTGAAATGAGGAGTCTCTCCCTGCGCCCGCCCCCAGCAGTCCAGCCTCCCAGCCGGAAGGAAGGGCTTAAACCCGTGCAGCTCAGGGAATCAGGCCCTCGGGGGTTTGGCAGGGTCACGGATGGATCCACGGATTCAGGGAGCAAATCCCTCGGAGTCCTTGTTTTCTGGCGGCTTCAGAGTCTAGGAAGAAGCGCCCCGAATTGTACCCACAGCCAATTTCCACCCCTACCCTACTCTGAGAGCCCTTCCACATCCTCTCTCGCTGCCTGTTATTTTCGTAGCCCTTCCCTTAAGTGATCGGGTCTTTATTTCGTTCCACGAATGAGCTGGTACACACTTTCCCTGGAATTCTGAAGCGTTTAGGAGCAAACCCAAGGCGGACAGCTTGCTCCGGGCCACCTGCGCGTCTGTAACCCTGCTTGATCCGCAAGGTGCTTCTGCTTCTCGGCGACGCGGCCTCCTTTGTGCCGCACCGAAGCTCACATCCAGAGCAGAGGATGGCGCGCGTTGTACTTATTATCCCATTTTACAGGTTAATGCCCAGGGTTGATGTGATAAGACTCCCCGGAATACCATAGATCTCGCCCGATCTCCGGCGTGCAAAGAAGAGTTAATGCCACGTGGCAGGCGCCGCGGTCTCTCTGCACGCGAGGCCGGAAACTCACATGAAACTCCGGCCTCGGCTTCTTCCAGTTTCACCTGCACAGCGAAGGCCCCAACCTTTTGTGGCTTCTAGGCCTCGGGACCTGGGAATTAATTCTATAGCCCTTGGCCGAATGGGTCGCAACTCCTCGGACCAGTGGTGCACAGCAGCATAGCGATTGAGGCGTTGCAAGGAGGATCTCCCTTTCGGAAACAGAAACGCCCAGGGCGACGGCCTTGGGGTACACACGCCCCAACCCTCACCCCATCCAGCAACCTTCCCTGGGATCCCCGCATTTTGTTTCTTTTAAAACTGCTTTCAGGCTAGATTTTAATTTTCTAGTTGCTCACAAATGCATTCACCTTTCGGAGAATGCTACAGTCCCCACCCTTTCTTTTCCCAGAGATCCGCACCTCTGGAGAGCTCTGTTTGCATTCCTTTCTGAAAATGGTTCCAGTAGCTGTTTGTAGCTGTGTCCTAAGAGGGTGGTTTGTTCTCCATCCTCGCACACTTGGAGGCTGGAGAACCCGGGAGTAGGAAAAGGATCAGAGGTCCAGGGTTGCGCCCCTACCAACCAGTCAGGGCGGGCCCCACTCCAGGCTCCAGCCTGGCCGGCTCCTCAGAGCTCAGCGCTGCCTGGGGAGAATGGCTGCAGTGAATTCAGTGGATCTTCACTGTGATCCCATCCCTCTCCTCAGCCCAGGGTATCTAGAGGTCTGGTTCCCAGAGTCAAAGGCCTCCTTGGGTCCTGCTGGCCTGCGAGGGTTTTTCCACCCACCCTGGGCTGCTCTTGTGGCTCCTGTAGGAAATTCACAGTATTACTTTCTTCATTTTCTTACTTCCTTTTCCTTTCCCACTACCAGCTCTCCCTTCCAGCTTTCTTGTTTGTTTGTTTTGTCTTGACCGAAAGCATTCCCTCACCCTGCTGGCCCTGTCCGGCTCCAAGGTGCCTTGGTTCACCTATTGCCTGCCAGCTGTGCTCGGTCTCCTCTCAGCCTGGCTGCCTAGAGCAGTCACAGCTGCAGCTGGGGCCCAATGTCCCTCACATCTTCATCCTCCTGTCCTCTCCTCCACCTGTGGTGAATATTAGAGCTGGGCTTCTGGTCACCCTGCTCACTCTATGGATTGGTAAACCAAGGCAAGAGGAATGGCTGGGTAGGGGGCATGCACTGCATCCTGCACTGAAATGGATCCCAAGGATTCAGGCTGAGTCTATAATCTTGCTCTCATAAGCAGATTTAGGATCAGTTGGCTGCCCAACGTCCATAGTTGTGTGTGTGTGTCTGTGAGAGAGAGAGAGAGAGAGAGAGAGAGAGAGAGAGAGAGAGAGAGAGAGACACTCAGGCCATCTGCTCTTGCCTATCTCAAGCTATGTTCTGTTCCAAAAGCTTGGATTTGTGGAACTCTCAAATCCCTAGACAGTATCTTGGCTGTGCAGGCATCATGCAAGGGGAGTCAAAGTTGAGTTCCATTTTCAAGGAGAGGTGGCTTCCTGTCTCAGGGAATCCCAGCATTCTTGCCTCTCTCCCACACTAGGAATGAAAGAGTGCTGTGCCAAGTCTGACTTCAAAGGAGAGGGTCTAAAATGATCTCAGCTGTCACCTGATGCCTCTGAGCGGTGACTCAGCAGCGTTCACATCCAGAACCTGGAGAGACTGGCTTCTGGGGTCTTCTCAGGAAGGGACAGTGTCGCAGGGTTCTGCTCCTGGTTCCTGGTTCCTGGCTCTCAGAGGGATGGGGGCTCAGGAGCAGAGCATTGGACTTGTACAAAGATGGCCAAGTGTCCCACGGAGGCAGTACTTCACTGCAGGCCTGCAGATATCCCAAGCCAGAGGTCCTTCCAATCTAAGTACCAACTGGCTGCCAAAGCTTGGTGCCCCCAGGCCAGACCAACAATCCACTTTCCAGACTCCAGATTCGGTTGACTTTCAGAAGGAAAAAGTAGAATCTAGTCTATGTCTCCAAACTCTGCAGCATCCGACACACTTACAGAAAGGCTTCTGCTTTGCCAGAGGAAAAGCCAGGACCTAGCAAGCATGAGATAGAGGCAGAATCCAACAGTTCCCCCCAAGATCAAGAGACTCCTACAGGAGCTCCTGGCCTCCAAAGGACATCAGGGGAAATGGGGACCATGCTCTTTGGAGGAAGGGAAATACACAGGAGGCAGGCCCTTGGCTGCTGCCTAGCAAGCAAGGGTAGGGCTTTGACCTTTAAGGCCCCCCATCTCACTGTCTGAGTTGGGAAACGCACAGAGCTAGTGTGAGGACAGCAGGAGACAGCGTGTCCTTCCCAGTGCTCAGTGTCTCAGAAAGGACTCAGAGCAGAGCAGGGAGCAGCAATGGCTGTTGCCTCTGCTCAAAGCCTTTGGCTGCCACAGAAGCCACTTTGAAGGGAGCAACGGAGGTGGAGGCTTTTAATTGGGGGAAGGCCTAGAGGAGCAGCCAATGCATGTTTAACGAGAATAGCAACAACAGTAAAGCAAGGCTGCATCCTTTTGTCTGGGGCACTGCACAGCAACAGAGCACTTAGGTGGCCTGTCCTGCCCTCCTGTTCAAGGAGGCTGCCTGGAGCCGGTTGATGTGACCTCCACTTTACAGAAAGGGAAACTAAGGCTCAAAGTGACAGTGTGACTTTTCCATCAGCACCGGCCAGAAGAGGTGAAGTCAGGTTCCCTCAAAAGCCAGAGGCATATTTTATGATTTGAGGGGGTTAGTGTGGGCCCCGCTCCACGTGTGCTTTTGGGGAGGTTGGGTCCCAAGAGGGTGGGCAAAGTGAAAATTATTAAGCACTGTACACCTGGCATAATCTTATTGTTTTGGACATCATCATCATCACCATCATCATCGTCACTGTTATTATTATTAGGAACTTCTGGGCAGTGCTGAATCGCTGACTGGAAGCTATTGCTTTGAATTCCTACACCCTTGGGAGATTAACAAGTGCCCAGTGGTCTTGGGCTCTGTCACAGGCTCGGAGACCCCCAGACAGGTTTTTTTTGTTGTTGTTTTGTTTTGTTTTTGTCTCCCTATATAAATGTTTTAAATTTTTTTAAAATTCCAAAGCAGGAATGAAAAAAAGTGATGCAATGTAAATGTTACACCATCTAATAAATTGGACTCTTCCCCTGGAGTCACACATAGGAGTTACTCAATATAAATACGCTTGTTCAGTTAAAGCATTCATAAGGACTGATTCGCAGGGCCCTCAGAGCAGGGCTGGCGGGTACAGGTTTAAGCTGAAAGTCAGAAGTCCAAAATCGCGCGGTCCGGGAGAGCAAGAACCGAAAGGGCCCGGAGCTCCTCACGTGCCCGAGTCCTGCCCACGCTTTGTGCTTCGCAGCAGGAGGAGAGAGGCCACCGGAGCCAACCCGGAACCATGGCCACCACTAGTCACCTCTGTTCCCATTGGAGAGTCCAGGCCAAGGCAGCGCTCGAAGGCTGCGCGGGTGAGGCCGCCGCCTCCCCCAGCCTGGCTCTCTGGTTTCCTGAGTGCGCGTGGAGAGCTCTCCGGGCCCAAGCGTCGCTGGCGTCTGCCCTCCCCGCGGAGCCCCGTTCCCTCCGCCGCCTTGCCCGGATGCCTCTGCCGTCCTGCGGTTTTCGAGCCCGCAGAACCGAGGGTCCCTCGCCCTGCATCAAGCCATCAGTGGTACTTTCTACAGTTGCATCTTTAAACTCCGGGTGTGCGCGGCCCGCCGGGTTCTCGGTGAGTTCCTCGCTTCCCTCTCTAGCCCCTTGCGGTCGCCAGCTCCGGCCGGGCTCTCGCCGGCGCCGGCGGGGGGCGGTGGAACGGGGCTCTGAGGCTCTGGGTGTAGAGTAGGG